AAAAAAAAAAAAAAAAAAAGATGTGGGTCGAGACGACTAACTTATGCTCTTTCTAAGCAGAGGAAAAAGTTGTAAAGTGCAAAACTTTGTGAGTGAACGAGATGAGAGCTGCAATATGAGACAAGTTTTATAAATTCGATGTCAGCTTTATATCTAAAAGTTCACTATGAAGTTAAATCTATGCTCAACATGTAGTGCAAATTATTTAAGCTGTTTTGTAGTCTTGGAAATAGAATCAGATTTTAGTTGCAAGAGGAGGACTCAGTTTAATAAACTGAAATTCAATTCATATCTAAAGCTGCCCTATGAAAGCAAATGCTGTTGCTTAAGCCTTAAAATTCAACTTTCTGCTAGACAAAAGACTCTTGTTCAGGCATACGCACACGCATATATATAATATAGAGTATGCAATATCTAAATGCTGCCTGTATTGATGGCCATTTTATGGCCACGGCATGAAAGTAACAAGAAATAGAAAAAAAACCCGAAAGAACAATGGAACAGGGAGAGTAGGAAAGAAGCGGAAAAGGTAGCTACGCAAGCACAAAATCAAATTAGAAAATTTGCATTTAGTGTGAGTGAGTGCGCAGAAAAGTAGGCAACAAAAGTTTTGCTGCCAAATCACATGCATATATTTGCCATAGTCACAGCGAAGCACCTGACGCTGATGATGATTCTGGTGTATAATTTTCTTTGTCAAACTAAATTAAAAAGTTTCCTGCGGCCCGCTCGATTCATGTGTTTTCCGCCTATAATGAAGCTGTCATGTGGCCTGCTGGACTTTTATTCTCTTTTTGTTTCTCCTGCTATAAAGCTGGACCACGTAACATTGGTAATTTATCAGTCCGGTAAAGCAAATTTGCATTAAATGCGCTGCTGAGTTTTAATTGCTTATATGATGCCCGACATCAAAACTCATTCCAAATGATAGACGAACGTACAATTGTGTGTACCCGCCGGGCAGCATAAAGTTCCAGCGGAAAATATGATGAATGCGACGCGGAAACAGAGCGCGGCGAGCGAGTGCGGAAAATAATGAAAAATTACACCCACACACACAAACACACGAGCACATACTACCACTACCCACTAAACAACTAAAAACTGTAACACACGTACACACACACGCACACACACATGCACATGCACAGGTATGTGCCGCTGCATACTTTTGGGCGCTGTAAAATATAAAATTCTATGAATTTGTACGTACATCATTTGAAAATCGTAAAAGTTGCAAGTGTTGCTTGTCGAGCACACAAAGACAGACAGAGAAAGAACGAGAGTGAGAGAGAGACTTCCTTTGTGTGTGTGTGTGTGTCAGAGCTGTCATAAACAGGCACAACAAAAAGGTAAACTTGCTTTTACTTTTATTATTTGCTGTGTAAAAAGCGCATACAGTTCTTTATATATAATTATAATGCCCGGCCAAATGCTGCTACCTCCGAAGAGCTCCACAATCATTCTGTTCTGTTTGGCAAATGGCGAAATTGAGTTGAGTAAAGCTGAAAAGCAGCCGTAGACGATTACACAGTGCAATTTGCCTTGGTTATTTGCCCAACTTTATGACTCCGCAAATTGTGCCAGAAATAATTTTATATGCTGCCGAGCCATGTGTAAGAATTTCTAATTTTCACTCAAGCAAATTAAAATTTACCTACGTGCCTGTGTGTGTGTGTGTGTGCTTGTTTGTGATTAAATTAATTAAATTTAAGTTAAATACAAAAGGTTTATGAATTATTCAAAATAATTTATGAAATGAAATACTAATTTATATGGGCCAAAGAGCAAAACTCATTTAAATGTGATGCGAGTGAAATGTGGAAATGTGAAGTATGTGGGATAATATGTAGATTTTCTTTGACAACTTTGAATATATAATAT